ATTCATAAAAACTGTGATCATTTGTGAACTTTTTTGGTCACAGAGCTTATTTTCTGCAGTAACTGGTGGAGAAATCCATCTGTAATGATGTGCATGACTAATACTTTATCAGTTTTGGTGCAGTTGACAAATATATAAATAGTAAAAGACTATAGAAAAGTTCATAAGCTGTAGGCTGCCTACTCAAGTATAAGTGCAGATGAATTCAGTCCTGCTGTAATATGTGAGTGACTATATCATCACTCTCACATTAGCAACCGAGAAAAATCAGCTTTAGCCATCTGAGTGACAGCACATATTTCTATACAGCTGCAATTTAGGCTGAAGGGCAAGTTGAGAGTAGCATTCAGAGGTAGAGAAGACAGACTGAGAGTCAACAAGACTTGACAGAACTGTAAATATGAATGAATAGACAGCACCCAGTGTGATAAACACGTAACTCATCAGAATATGAAATTCATTGCATCAACTAGATTACCTCTCATGCTTAAATTGAAACCTTGCAGGCATTTCTGTGGAATTCATGAAAATAAGAAATGATGTATAATATTTTGGTGGTGTGATGTATACTTGGCTCACTGCGAGGCATTATTAAAGAGATAATTAAAGCTACAGAAAGAGATTATAATTCTGTCAATAAAGCTAGTCTAGTGAATGCCCAGGTTCCACCGACACAGGCTGTTGACTGACAGTTTAATGCATACTAAACAAAAAAATGGCATGTTGCTGAAGTTCTGCATTTGACCTAACACAATGACATTTATAAGTGTGGCTTAAGTGTCCATATACTTTGGGGCCACTGTATATCTGATGCATTACAGAATCCAACTGACAGATGTGTGTAAACGGATGAATTTGGGGATTCTTGCAGCGTACAGACTACGTGATTGGATTTTGAGGGGTCTCAAATGGAGGCTCAGCCTCACTGTTTTTGCTTTGAAACTGAGATCTTGACTGGCAGGCTGACATGCTGTTGTCACAATAGGACTGATTTTATCTGTGTGGTGCTACAACTGAAATTCCCTTAGGAAAAACTAAGAGTTACTCTGTTGCTGATCTTACAGTGATTTGCAGAGGCAAAACTACTGTACCTAGCAGCCTGTGATACAGTGTGAAGTATATCATTAATTTGATCTTGTGTGTATATATATATATA